ATTCCCTGTGGATTCTTGCTGCTTTTGGCCCCGTGTGATAAGGTCCATTGTTATGTTCCTGTTCACTCTTAACCTCCCCGAGTGTGTGAAACATGGATAGAGAGTCCAGCATAAAGTAATTGGATTGCCTGTCAAAGTAGCAGTGGCCTATTTTGTCTAGCACCAGTAGTAAACAGGACAAGTGGAAATGCCAGGGCTCATTATTACAGACTTTTAGCCATGCACCCAAGGAGCAGCCATAATCATGCCCACAGAGGGAGAAGGAGAAAAAGAGACAGAGAGTTAACAGTAGTGTGGCTCTTGGCTTCCACATGACTGGGGCAAAAAGTCCAATCTGAACTTTACAGGAGCTGTCCCAGGTGCTGTAAACTTGCATAGATCCTTTAAATCAGGGGTAGGCAACCTAAGGCATGGGGGCTGGATGCGCCCCCCCCCCGAGGCCTTTGGACTGGCCCTGGGCCGGTCCTGCCGCTGCTGCCGCCTGTCATGATGATATTGATTATTGTTGTTATTACTTGTTCTTGGGGTTTTCTTGGCAAAATCTCCACAGGGGTTTTGCCATGGCTTTTCTGGGGCTGAGAGAGTGTGCATGCATATTTTAAAAAAAACTTTTTATTTTTATTTATTTATTTATTTATTTATTTATTTATTTTGGGTGCTTCGGCCCTCCCAATTGTCTGAGAGACAGCACTCCAGTCCCCGGCTCAAAAAGGTTGCCTACCTCTGCTTTAAATCCAAAGCACATTCACAGCTACATGGACATGGCAGCTACCAGAGGCTACTGGTTAGCAGAACTGGGAAGTTACCTTTCTGGATTATATCTCCCAGAGTCCCCCAGCCAGCATGACCATTGATCCTGCTTTTCTTAGGTTACATCCAAACTACAGAAATAATTCAGTTTGACACCTCTTTAATAGCAATAGCATTTATATTCCTATACCACTCAGCACTCTCTGAGCAGTTTACAGTCTGTAAGCCAATTGCCCCCAACAAGCTGGGTACTCATTTTACTGACCTACAAAAAGACAGAAGGCTGAGTCAACCTTGGAACCCTGGGATCAGACTCACAATGTTGTGGCTGCAGTACTAGCATTTAACCACTGCATTCTTTAATTGCCATGGTTCAATGCTGTGGAATTCTGGGAATTATAGTTTGTTGTGGTGCCAAAACTCTCTGACAGAGAAGGCTAAATGTCTCACAAAACTACAATTCCCAGAATTCTATAGCATTGAGCCATGGCAGTTAAAGTGGTGTCAAAGTGAATTATTTCTGCAGTGTGAATACTCAAAGAGAACTAACACTCCATATATATATGTGTGTGTGTGTGTATAGGGAATATAACAAATCAACCCACAAACCACTAATAGCATTTCTCAGTTCAGTTGATAAGGTGTGACTGCAGTCTTAACATGGGAGTTAGCTCCATTGAACTCCGTAGTGGCTTTGACTTCTGGCTGCATAGGTTGAAATTCTAAAGTACATTGATCTTCCGTTAACCATTTTCAACCAGTTGAAATGAAGTATTTTAAATTTTTAATGACAAGAGCAAAAAATTGTGCAAAGTGCTACCATTTTAACTGGGGATCTCATCAAAGAAGGAGAAGAAGAGGAAGAAGGAATGAAAGTATAAGAGAAAACAAGAGATGCTTGGAGGAGAGCCAGAGTGTTGTAGTAGTTTGAGCATTGGGCTTCAGCTCTGGAGACCAGGGTTCGATTTTTCCCTCAGCCATGGAAATCCACTGGGTGACCTTGGTTGAGTCACACACTGTCAGCTCAAGAAAATCCTGTGATAGGTTTGCCTTAGGGGTTCCATAAATCAGAAATGACTTGAAGGCACACAAGAACAACATAAGTACAACAGAGGTGATAAAACCTGGTCCACTAAATGCCCACAACTCACACAAGACATATCCAGCATGGCCAATGCAAAAGATTTATGAGAGATGCACTTCAAAGCATCAGTCTCAGCCCCTTGTATATTGGATTGCAGCCTTAGAGCCTTAAAATCCTTCTTTTGAACAGAAATTGAAAGTATTTGATTTTAGCATTTCAAAATTTCTTTTTCTCTGTAACTGGCTGCAACTCTTCATAGTAACCCATATATTACAGATTTTTAACAATAGGAACAATCAGTTCACCAAGAAAGGTGTATAAAGAACCCAATGCTTGCTTTCCCATAGCTGTTTCCCTGCCTTCAGGGTTTCTAACATTTAGGGTCATTCAGAAACAACAATCAGGCTTGGATCCATTCCAAGGAAGCAACCTAGGACTCTTTCACACTACACAGGTATAGTACTATGATTCTGCTTTAACTGCCAGGTCAACATCCTATGGAATGCTGAGATATGCAGTTTAGGAAAGTGTATTTAGAATTTTCATCCAAAGACCTCCTGTAGTATCTCATCAAACTGTGTATCACAGATGCAGGCAAGACAGTTAAAGGAGACCTCTCAGTGCTAAAAATCTGTTGTGTGAAAGGGTCCCATCATTGCGGAAGGGCTATTACAGGGCTGGGGAATATATGGTTCTCCAGATGTTATTGGTCTTCAGCTCTCATCAGTCATAGCTAGTATAGTAAATATTGAGGCAGGATGGGAGATTCTTTGCAGACTGCCAGAAATATTGCAAATTGAGTGTCTGCCCTGACTCAGTGCTAGGGAATCATGGGAACTGTAGTTTATTGTGGCACCAGAGCTCTCTGACAGAGAAGGCTCAATGTCTCAGAAAAAAAAAATACAAATCCCATGTTTCCCTAGCACTGAGCCAGGGCAGTTAAAGTGGACTCAATTTGCACTATTTCTAGCAGTCTGCAAAGGCCCTTAGTTCAATGGCATTTTGAGAGCCACATGTTTCCCATCCCATTGCTAATAGAACATAGTTTTTTTTAAAAAGTTTTGATCCAGTCAAATTGAC